AGGCTCGTATAAACGGCGAAGCTGGGGCTCGGAGAAGGTACGGATTATGACCCAGGCTGACCTCAGCTGCGGCTTCTGTATTCACCGGGCGTCTTAAGGTTTAATTATCCATCATTTTATCCCGAGGAAGCTACTGGCGTTCGGTTTCGGGGACTGGCTTTGCATGCTAACCATTTCGGGCAGCTCTAGGTGAGACCGAGGTGGGCATCTGCTCTGATTTATTTATTTATTTATACCGCCCACCACATGGTACGTGCCTGGGGGCGATTTACAGAGAAAACAGGATAAAGGATGCAGTCATATAGAATTGGTCTGGTCTAATGTTAAGGCACCAGGGTAGAAAGCAGGAGATGGTGAGTTGTAGTACCCGCTTAGGCAGGAAAGCCGACTGGGTGACTTTGGGCCAATCACCAGGAGACAGAGAGTTCTAGTGCCACCCTGGGAATGAAAGCCGACAGGGTGACTTTGGGCCAATCATCAGGAGACAGAGAGTTCTAGTGCCACCCAAAGAGCAAAAGCTGGCTGGGTAACTTTGGGCCAATCACTAGGAGACAAGGAGTTCTAGTGCCACCCAAGGAGCGAAAACCGGCTGGGTGACTTTGGGCCAATCACCAGGAGACGGTGAGTTCTAGTGCTACCCTAGGAATGATAGCTGACTGGGTGACTTTGGGCCAATCATCAGGAGACAGAGAGTTCTAGTGCCACCCAAGGAGCGAAAGCCGGCTGGGTGACTTTGGGCCAATCACCAGGAGATGGTGAGTTCTAGTACCACCTTAGGCATGAAGGCCAACTGGATGACTTTGGGCAAGTCAGGAGACAGTGAGTTCTAGTCCTACCTTGAGCATGAAAGGTGACTGGGTAACTTTAGGACTTAGGCCAATCACAGAAGATGGTAAGTTCTAATCTCACCTTTGGCATGAAAGCCAGCTGGGTGACTTTGGGCCAATCACAGGAGATGGTGAGTTCTAGTGCCACTTTAGACGTGAAGGTCAACTTTGAGCAAGTCAGGAGACAGTGAGTTCTAGTCCTTAGGCATGAAAGGTGACTGGATGACTTTGGGCCCATCACAGGGAGATAGTGAGTTCTAGTCTTTGGTATGAAAGCCAGCTGGGTGGCTTTGGGCCAATCACAGGAGGCAATGAGTTCTAGTCCCGAGTTAGGCATGAAAGCTGCGTGGGTGACTTTCGGCCAACCATCAGGAGATGGTGAGTTCTAGTTTTGCCTTAGGCATGAAAGTCAGCTGGGTGACTTTGGGCAAAGCAAGAGACAGTGAGTTCTAGTCCCACCTTAGGCACAAAAGCTGGCTGAGTGACTTTGGGCCAACCACCAGGAGACGGTGAGTTCTAGTCCTGCCTTAGGCATGAAAACCATCTGGGTGACTTCAGGCCAATCACCAGGAGATGGTGAATTCTAGTGGCACCTTAGGTCTGAAGGTCAACTGAGTGACTTTGGGCAAGTTCTAGTCTCATCTTTGGCAGGAAAGCCAGCTGGGTGATTTTGAACCAATCACCAGGAGTTGGTGAGTTCTAGTGCCACCCTAGGAATGAAAGCTGGCTGGGTGGCTTTGGGCCAATCACCAGGAGTTGGTGAGTTCTAGTGCCGCCCTAGGAATGAAAGCCAGCTGGGTGACTTTGGGCCAATCACAGGAGATGGTGAGTTCTAGTCCTGCCTTAGGCATGAAAACACCTGGGAGACTTGGTTGGTTGGTTGGTTGGTTTATTGGTTTTGTATGCCGCCCACTCCCGAAGGACTCCGGGCGGCTCACAATAAACAGGGGAGGGAATAAATAAGACAATACAAACAATATTTAAAATCCACAACAGTCACAATTAAGACGGGGCTGGG